TTTTTTTTTTTTTTTTTTTTTTTTTTCATTTTTCTTCTTTCATAGGAGAAAGTGGTTGCCTCCACCATTGCGTAAACTTAGCCAAGGTAAAGTCGAGAAGTCACCACCGACGACGACATCGACGGCAACATCGATGACATCGATTGTGCCGTCGTCAGGTGATCGATTGAAAAAGAATGTCTCGGAAAAACGATTCAAATTACCGACTGGTGCGGAACAATCTCGACCGTCCAGAACTGCTTCTATTTCTATCTCTGCGTTAACAACAGCGACTGCCTCTATGCGTGTGTCTGCCTCTGAAGCGGACCTTGACACTGAACTTCAACCAGGAATCGAAGGAGAAGAGGACGAAGGAGAAATGGAACAATCGGAGCCAGAATTGGAAGAAGACGTACCGGAACCCGATAACACGGAAGCTTTAACTTATTCGGAACAAAATGGAGCGGACGATGTCGAAGACGAATTAGAACTTCCTCCACCGATGAAACCCATCACTGAACCGATACTTGTAGGAACTGCGAATGGGGCATCGGGATCTGCAATTGCAACAGAAGGCTGTGGAAAATCTCGAGTGAGTTTCATTTTCATTTTTCTTCTTTTTTAAATATATTTTTATTCTAACCTATCTTAGCTACAATTCTTTCTTTCTCGCCAATTTTTTTTATAATTCCTCTTTTTAATTTGTTTTACCCTCTCTCAAAATACTTTCAAATTATTTAGAACCTTTCACCCATTATAATTCATTTATTTTACCTGGTCCAAACGTTTGACCGCAAACGTTATGAATACCAATGAATCGTACGTGAGGAAATTTGAACGTCTCATTCTTTGCACTGAAGAAAACTGCTTTAATATAACGTAACGTATTTCTATACGCATTGTGTTCCAATTTTTATTACAGTTAAAAAAAAATAAAACTACTATATACATGATATACAATTTCAAAATTTTGTGTTTTAATATAAATAATTAAAATAATATAATAGTTATAAATAAATCGATATAATTTATAGATAAAAATATAATTCTTAAATATAATATTTAAATTTATTTCTATTATATATACATATAGACGTCTGAACGTTCAACGAAGATTCTTGACGGTGCCACAACGGTTGATCTAGCTGAAATTGAACAGATCGTAAAAGAGAGAATGGTAAGTATACTAAAAAAAAGAATTTAAATTTATAATATATATCTGAAATTGACTCGCTTTTGTAATATTGAAATAGGAACAACATACGGAAAATCAAGAAAGACAAAGTCTGATGCGAACACCTAGTGGTAAAAATTCAAGCATTGGTGGGGATAACGATTATGACAAAGATGCAGTATCAAGTACAACTGCTACGACGATTGCTGCGTCAACGACGGTAATGACAACAATAGCGACAGCAACTGCAGCGACGGGGATAATGACGACGACAACTAAGATAGGAACAACAAGCAGCCCTGCTCACGGGAATTCGGAGGAATACGACTTGGAAAGCGCAGTGCTAGTGAAACGACAATTCGTTATTCGAGAATTAGTCGAGACGGAGAAAGATTATGTAAATGATTTAAAGCAAATAGTTGAAGGATACATGGCATTGATGCGAGATTCTGAATCTCAAGTGCCATTGCCGGATGATTTGCGCGGTGGAAAAGACAAAATGGTGTTTGGTAACATAGAGGCAATCTACGAATGGCATAGAGAGTAAGCTTTTCTTCTATATTATTTGTCTATTTATAGTAACATCGTATAAATTGAACATCTCGTTCATTTTTATTCTTATAATACAGTTTCTTTCTGAAAGCTTTGGAACGTTGCTTGGAACGGCCGGAAGAGCTTGGGCCGTTGTTTAAGCGATACGAAAGGAAGTTACATATGTATGTTGTTTATTGTCAAAATAAACCAGTCTCCGAGTATATTGTTTCTGAGTATATAGATACCTATTTTGAGGTAGATATACAAATTAAGATACTTAAATTAAGTCTTGTGTATTATATAAAAAAATTTCTAATTCTAATACTTTGCTAATTTTATTTTTCCTTTTTATTCTTATCAATTATTATTGTCCAGGACTTGAGGCAAAAGCTCGGACATCGATTACAATTATGCGATCTTTTAATCAAACCTGTTCAAAGAATCACAAAGTATCAACTTCTTCTTCGAGAGGCATTAAGACTTACCGAACGAACTCAAAGAATTTCGGAAATCGAAGGACTTAGAGCAGCGGTTCATGTAATGCGTATTATTCCAAAAGCGGCCAATGACATGATGGATGTTGCAAGACTTCAAGGTTTCGATGTAAGTATCCTTATCTTGATGCAAAATAATAATTCGATTATATTAATATCTTGCATTGTCTTTTATTATATTCGACTCACTCTGTCTGATTACTATCTTTTATTTATTTACTTTTTTTTATTAGGGAAAAATTACAGCGCAAGGAAAATTATTATTGCACGGACCACTTTTAGTCTCAGAATTTTCTTCGAATTTGCCTAGTAAGGAAAAAGAATGGCAAGTCTTCCTGTTCGAACAAAATATTATTTTTAGTGAGGCTGTCGGAAAAAAGACGCAATTCACCAATCCTGTCTATATTTACAAAGCTCATATTCAGGTAAAGAACTATCGTTAAATTTGCTCAATATTTTTTTCAAATTTTTTATCACAAATTATAATTTGATGTTTTACAAATATTATTAATTAATTAATAATATATATTTCTTAAACTATTTTATATTACTATTTTGTTAGATTATTTTACTAAAATAGTAAAAGGGAGAAACATGCAAATCAATAAAATATTGTTTTTATTTTATTTATTAAATTTATTTTGTTATAAAAAAAAAGAAATTTAGATATAATTGTTAATTAATAGCATAATAATGTTACATATATATTACATTAACAATTGAAAAAAAATGAAAAAAATATTTAATATGAAATATTATAAATATATAAAGATGAATATTTCATTTTATATAGGTGAATAAAATGAGTTTGGAAGAATGTTATGATGATTCGGAGAAGTTTATAATTCGATCAACAGATCCTCGAAAACCTGGCCTTGGATTCTCTTGTAGCGCAGTAGAAGAAAATGGGCCACGGAAGCAGGAGTGGGTAGATACGATCACTGCCATCCTGCAGACCCAACGTGACTTCCTTAAAGCGATACAGTCACCAATTGCCTACCAAAAGGAACTTACCAAAGATCCATTGTAAGCGTCACTCTATCTAACACACTGAATTACATTGACTCTCTTTCAACGCTCGATCCGTGAAGATTCGTTCCGAAATATTTTTGTATATTTTATATAAAGAAAAGATACAGAAGCGCTATATGCTAGAGAACCGTAGTCGTATCCTAAAACCGAAATCCGTTTTAATCTCTGTTTTCCTTTCGTTTTGTTCCTAATTTATCTCACTAATGTGTTCTCTTATCACACAGTTTATGTACACATTACTCTTTCACCATATTGCGACGTGCTTCCTCTTGTTTGCCTTAACATTGCAGTCCAGGAATCTACCTCGCTATTGCTGCTGAGTAGCTTTATCGCGAGAGCGTCTCCTACTATATTCTATAATAATTACCTACCTCCTTCGGAGTAGTTTTTAACGTTCCTACAACTGTGTTTGTCATGGTTCGTTGGAACATAATGCTATACAATGCAATATAATATGATACGGTACATTAATACACGATACAATACGATATTATATGGTACAGTACAATACGGTACGGTACAATGTGACATTCTACGATACGACACGTTACAATACGATACGATACGATACGATACGATACGATACAAATTATCAAGCATTCTGTTATTTATCGACTGTGTTGCACACCTGTGTGCAGGTAAGGGTAGGTATAACGAAACGTACCCACTCACAATTTACATCCTCGTAACACCTCCTTTGGTATCTTGTTGTTTGCAAAAGAATAATATTAAAGTGGAAAGGTGTGTTTGTTGCATGCTTCTGTTTATGTGAGTTATGTGTCTGTCGCGTGACTGCATGTATTTCGCGTTTACACGCGCGCGTGCGGATGTATGAGAGAGAGAGCGAGTGAGAGATTACGCTGGAAAGGGAAGGGGTGGGGGCGAGACAGATTTTGTTAGAAAAATTTGATAAGAAGGAACGATTTCTAAAAGAGAAAATTGATTAAACAACGAACGAGACTACGTACTGCTGTGTCTTTTTGGCTCAAATAATTTTTTCAATCCTATTGTTTATTGTTTATGGAAGCACGTTTCACTGATTTTCACGTAATGAGAAATTTACATGCGCGTATCTGTATGTACATGCACGGATAATCACGCGTGTGTAAAGTAAGAATAAACATTACACGCAATAAATGACGCATGATCAAGCCAAGCGAGCATGTCCAACATGCTGACTCACCCCCACCAAAAGCTATATTACCTATTAACGACGTAACGCTGCAAGTGTATAATAATTTTAATAATGTTTATAACTGCAAGATTGAACGAATGCGGGGGATAGTATGCTGTACATAAATGTGCATTCATGAAGGACGACGTAAAGTAAAACTCGAGAAACGTAAACATTTTGTTTAGAATAAATTGTACATTGGTCAACATTCTAATTGTGATGCATCCTTTTCCTACGCCTATTTAACACTATTTACTCGTCGTTTGACTAACAGCTTGGTTTTTCTTATCATTTTCTACGAGGACATGGTATTGCATCGATATCTTACATCTTAATTAAAATTTCAAGTTGCTTTATACTTTATTTAAACATTTTAAGCAATGGATTTATCTTTTTCAAAAGGAATTCCCTTATTAAATCTCCCAAAAAAAAAAAAAAAAAAAAAAAAATTGTATAAAGTAAACCCGTATAATTTTAAATTTTTTTTTAAAATAAAAAATTTAAAATTATACCGTTTTTTTTTAAACAATTTTTTTTTTTTTTTTGGGGGTTTTAAAAAGGGAATTCTTTTTGAAAAAAAAAAACCCCTTTTTTAAAATTTTTAAGCAAGGGGTTTTGTGTTTTCAAAAGGAATTCCCTTATTAAATCTCCCAAAAAAAAAAAAAAAAAAAAAAAAATTGTATAAAGTAAACCAGTATAATTTTAAATCTATTATTATAATAAAACTTGAATGTCATCATTTATCTTTAAATCCGAGTGTTGATTCGAGTTATGATATCTTGTTCGAGTTATAATAACTCGATACGACAAAAAGTGTATATTTTCATAGATGCAATACCGTGTTTGAATTTTATTTATAATTTGCTGGCGTACAGTCGTGGCGTGAGTCCGGATTCTCCATGTCGAGGGAGTGTACTTTCATCAACAATACCGAACATGTCTAAAACGAACGAAGAACGGAGAAATGAAATCGCTGCTACTACCTCTTCAAAAGCATTAGCTACAGCTGCAGCAGCGACAGCTACGACAACGTCGGTTTTACAGCGACCTCGTACCGGAGGCTTGGATCAGGATTCTTCGCAATCGCCAAGTCCTAGCAAAAGCAGACTGAACTTTCTTGAAGGATTCAGAAGTACTCTACGTCCACGATCACCTGTTCGCAACAACTCTATTCCGGTGAGCAATAATATCGAAATTATTATTATTTCTTAAGTTTATATATATACAATTCTATTTGTCTTTATTCGTAATTAGAATTCTTGCAATTGCAGCAAAAGGATTCTTCTTTCTCTTCCTCTTGATGCCTGTTGCTATTCGATCTCTGTCATATAATTTTTCGTTGGTACGGTAACAACTTTTTTATTTTCACCGTTTCCATTGATTGTGAGACAAATAGTGCAAATAATGAAATATATCATTTCTCGTTGATATCTCTTCTCAACGTGCAATATTACTGCACTCATTATATTACAGGCTCTGATTACTTTTGACGATTTGTTATTCTTATTCACGAAACCAGTATTACCTTGTACATATTTTACATCAAAATGAAACGCTCTCAAACATGTTAACTCTGTAGTTGTTGCTTCTTGCATCGTTATTGCCTTCCCTTCCATTTGTTTTCATTTTTTAATATTACATTGCAATCGCGTTCGTTATTGCCATTATCTTCGTCGTCATTATCACCATCATTATCATCATCATCATCTCATCATCATCATCATCATCATCGTCATCGTCGTCTTCGTCATTATCATTGTCGTTATCGTCGTTATTACATTTATTGTTGTCATGATTACATTTCTTGAATACAATTCATAATAATTATTGTAGATTTTCTTTATTATCTATTATTACCACCGTCGATGTTATTATTTATCTTATTATATTCGCGATATTAATTTATTATTATTATTTTAAATATTGGTAGAATATTCCCTTTTTCCAGTTTTGTATGTTGATATCTTATCACTATTGCTATACACTATTGCTAAACACCGTAGTTTTCTGCAGTTTTATTATACGATATATTTGGCTAGCTGTATTTATTAAGTGTTGGGTCACTGTTGCTGCTCACTGTTGCCATCGAGTGCTTGCTGTTTAATAATATGTCGCAAGATATTGGATAGACGAAACGCTTCGAACATTAAAACGATCAAGAGAGAATGGTGAAATGGTGGTCAACGGGAGTGGGGTGTGAAAGATATCGATGATCCGGTGCATGATCGAGGAAAGATCAAAGATTCGTTAAGTTAACCGGGAGATTCCGTAGATCGTTCCAGGAAGCAGAGTAAGATTAACCGCAGATTGGGGCAAGTTACATGCTGGAGAAGAATTGGAGATCTTCCGTGTGGATGGTCCAGGGCTAATCGTCTCTCCGGTAATCGGGAAAAAGGAGGAATTCTGGATTCCGGCGAGTCTCGTTCCAAATTCATCGATCAGCCGCGCATGGTCTTTCCGTCCGCGAAGAATCGATTCCGAGGGAGAGAACGTCCGTCTTCCGCAAGATATGTGCGCGGAAGAGAACGGTCCTCCCGCGATTTTGACTATTCCGTGTTC